CATTCCTATGGGCTTAAAACTCACCTTTAAGCGAAAATCCTCCATACAGCGGCTATTTTCGCTGCCCGGTAAGCGAGGAATCCAGGCGAAAACACAGCGGGTGGCCATTTTTTTAACCCGGAAGCCATTCTGGAACCGCCGATCAGCCGTTGGAAAGTCATCGCTATGCAATGATTGGTATGCGAAACAGGGTACCGATCGTCGCAAAGCGATTTTTCCCTATCTAAACCATCGCAATGCGATCGCAAAAGTGATCACAAAAAATTCATCGCTATGTGGATTCATCGTTAAATGGGACGCCCATTAAGCGAGGCACTACTGTACCTAAATCAAGAAAAAACATGTCCACTTTAAATAACTCATCCAAATCAAGGTTTCCCCTGAAGAATGCCATATATCCTGTTTCCCCGAAAATAAGATCTAACAGGAAAATAAGCTCTAGTATGATTTTTCAGGATGCTCGTAATATAAGCCCTCCCCAAAAAATAAACCTCAGTTAAGTGAAACCCCGCCTCCACCATTGTGCAGCAACCAGAAGAAGATGACACGACTGTATTTCAATAAATGTAGATTATTGTACATGAAAAAAACCCCATGAAAATAAGCCCTCGTGTGTTTTTTAGAGCAAAAATTAATATAAGACCCTGTCTAATTTTCTGGGAAACACGGTAAATAAAAATCACCACCATCATCTCTGTTTGTAAGAAAAATTTCAGGAACATTCTCCAGGTAAGTGCATAGAAAAAGACAAACAAAAGAAACTGTGGCTCAGCTTTTCAATGGAGATGGAAAAATGATGACAGAAGACAAAGAAATGGCAGAAGGGCTCCATTCCTATTTTAGCAGTAATAACTAGAAGTCAACACAGATTTGTCAAGGGCAAATCCTGCCAGGCTAACCTATTCTCAATTTTTGATCGAGTGACCTGTCTGATAGACAGAGGGAATGCTGTAGACATTATATATCTTGACTTCAGCAAAGCTTTCGACACAGTGCCCCATGATATTCTGATTAGCAAATTTAACTAGATGTGGGCTGTATATAACAACTGTCAAATGGATACACAGTTGGCTACAGAATCATAGCCAGAGGGTGATGATGAATGTCTCCTTCTCAAACGGAGAGGAGATAAAAGTGGAGTATCCCAGGGCTCAGTCCTAGACCTAATGCTATTCAATATTTTATTTACAACCTGGATCAGGGGATACAGGGAATGCTAATCAAATCTGCAGGTGACATAAAATCAGGTGGAATAGCGAACACCCAAGAAGACAGAAACAGCATTCAAAATGATCTAGATATGGCAGAGCACTGGGCTGAAAACAACAGAATGAAATCCAACAGGGATAAGTGCAAAGTACTGCACTGGGGGAGGGGAGGAGTGTGTGGACGACACCAAACACAGAGTTACAAGATGAGGGATTCCTGGCTCAGCAATATTATAATTGAGAAGGATCTTGGAGTCATTGTAGATCACAAGCTGAGTATAAGCTAACAGTGTAATGTGGCTACAAAAAATGCAAATACTATTCTAGGCTGCATTAACAGATGTATAGTCTCCAAATCCCATGAGGTTTCCCTGAAAATAAGACCTAACCTGAAAATAAGCCCTAGTATGATTTTTCAGGATGCTTATAATATAAGCCCTAAATAATCCCCAGTTAAGTAAAACCCCGTCTTCCACCACAGCGCAGCAACCAGAAGAAGATGACATGATTGTATTTTAATAAGTACAGATTGTTATACATGAAAAAAATAAAGCATCCCCTGAAAATGTCCTAATGCATTTTTGGAGCAAAAATTAATATAAGACCCTGTAATATTTTCAGGGAAAGACAGTAGTTCCCCTCTATTTGGTATTGGTTAGGCATCATCTTGAGTACTGTGTCCAATTCTGGATACCACACTTCAAGAAGGATGCTATCAAATTGGAACAAGTTCAGAGGAGGGCAAGAAGGATGATCAGGGGGCTGGAAACCAAGCCCTATGAGGAAAGGCTGAAATAACTGGGCATGTTTAGCCTTGAGAAAAGACAAAGACGTTTCAAATACTTGAAAGCTAATCACACCGAGGAGAGTCAATATCTGTTCTCGATTATCTCAGAGTGCACAACATCCAACGATGGATTCAAGTTACAGGAAGCCAAATTTCAGGAAAAATATCAGGAAAATATCAGGAAAAACTTACTGTTAGAGCACTACGACAATGGAAGCAATTACCTCAAGAGGTAGTGATGCTCCAACACTGGAGGCATTCAAGAGAAATTTAGACAACCATCTGTCATATCTGTTTTGATTTGTCTTCCTGCACTGATCAGGGGGTTGGACTCGATGGCCTTATAGGCCCATTCCAAATTCATGATTCTATTATTTTTAGAATATTTTTTTAAAAATGTGGTGGCCCTCCACATATTGCTGAACTGCACTACTCATTTACCCCAGCCAGAACAGGTAATGGCGAAAGATGATGTGAACTGCACTCCAACACCTGGAGGGCCACAGATTCACCCAACTTACAGTCCATTCCAAGGGCAGTACGGTGAAATGACTGCAAACAAAATAAAAGTATGTTTCAAAATTTTCTGATATTCTCCTTGATAAGCCCCTCTTCTGTCTTAACAAGTCTTAACAATGAATTTTAATTTCTGAATCAAGTTCCAAAAAGTTCTTTTCTTTGAATAACTGGACCTGTAACTGAATTTCCACATCAATTATGTGAAAAAGAAAAAATCCAGATAAAATGACAAGAACATGATCCAAAGAATTCTACATATAAAAAGCTATGTATCTTTCTTATACAAACTAGATGCCATACCTATCAAGAATGTTTCTATTGCCCATCTCTTCTGCTTTTTGTTTTCAATAAAGGTAAAACAGCAACACCTAATTCAGTATACTGCATTTGCTCTGGAAATGAAAAATCACTATTATGAATATGTTTCCACTGAACTATGACATAACTACCACTGCTTTTGACTTTTGTGAAGAAAAAATCCCAGCATTGCTTAAGATGAAGCTTTAGAGGCATAAAACCTGCTTTGAATGCAAGTGGTTAAAATCTACAGTTTGTAAGCACTATAGAGGCATTCTACTTTCTTCTCACATAGAAAAGAATGCCTCTTCTAAGATAAGGCCTGCTCCAACACACATACTTCTTCTTTCATAACATTAAATGTAACTGATAATATTAACTTAAATATCTATTATTATTTATGCAATTAAAGTTATTTTAATTGGACAACAAGTTTTTTAAGACCACAAGATCATTATTCTCTGCACTTAAGGTATCTAGCTTTTAAAAAAGACCGCTTTATACCATCAATGACGTAGAATTCTATCCACAAAACTTCTGCCACATTAAATTTACTAGACTATACAGTGCCACATGACAATGTTCTCAGTATTCTAGCATGTCCTTTATTTCAAAATTGGTCGTTGTTAGTAGAATACAGTAATAGTAAGTAGGAGTGTTTTAACTGAAACATTATGCTGGACAAGACATCTATAAAACACAGGTGAATTCTAACTTGCACAAAACATGAAAAACTGTCCTATAATGGAGACTTGTTTCTTTTAAAATGTTCTGAGGCTTATTGTGATGATTTTAGTGCTTTTAATGTTTAGTTCATTTTAGTGATATTACTAACTCACTTTGAACACTTTTAAAAATAGAAAAACAGGCTTAAGATGTAATGCCTAAATGTGTATACACCTGCATACACACACACATAAATATGCATGCATACAGAATATTCCATATGATGTATGTGTGGCAGGACATCATCATCATCATCATCATCATCATCATCATCATCATCATCATCATCATCATCATCGAAAATAGCAGCCTTTCCCAACTATTTACAGAGTTGTTCTTGGAAACAAACACATTACTTCAAAAGGTGGCATCAAAACCAAGGTGACCCTGTCTCTACCAAAGTCAACAGGGATCCCAGCTCTTCTCTTCATGATCGAATACATTACAATTATTATACTTTGGAAACCTGCATTGTATAGACTTATTCAATCCACAAAGTGAAATAGGAAAGTAAAGTTTTAGAACTTTAACCAGAATAGTCAAATGAAATCTCTGGTAAAAGAGTGCATTTTTTAACCAGGCCTGCTTTTGCCATGATATTTTCATCTAAAATGTGCATTTCAAAATAGAAAATGCATAAGACTTAATTTACATTACCATATTTATATTATGTTAAAAATATTACACTTGTGTAATTTTACTACACAAACAGGCACTGAGAAGCCACAATTGGCAGCAAGTGTCTGACATGTGCAACAAGTGAGAAGTACAGTATGTGCAAAATCATACATCCTTGGTGCAAGGTCTTTTAGTGCTCCCTTGCAGGGAATCCCTGTGTTATAAAGTAGCACTATCAACTTTGCAAATCCAGCCAAAAAATCCTGGAGTACAGCTTTTTATCATCATCAGTAATAAGTCTATACCCAAATTTGCTTAAAACTATAGCTGGCAAGAGAACATCTTCTCTCTCAAAAATGTTTTGGCCATCCAGCAGTTCTAAATTTTAACCCTCCTTATTTTAAGCTAGTAATCAAAACTGTGAGCACAAAGAGAAAGGATTTGTGAGAGAAACACATTTTCAAATAGTCTGCAAGCTTATCAAGTTGTAATTCTGGCCAAGATGCCCGTAAACAACTAGCAAGAAAATATGATAATTCCTGTGGAGAAACAGAATTCCAATTCATTTCATCTTTTGTAATAAAGAGGATTTTTCATGGCACCCACTTACCAGGCAGAATGGCTACAAAACACTTTGTCTCTAAACCGAAGCTCTCTACTTATTCACCTTGCTTAAATTAATCCCGCTTTGAGATGTGCAAACCGAAACAAACACAGGGGACCACTACAACCAGTTAACTCCACCCACCTCCCACTCACACTTTACTGCATCATGAATAGATTGGAGAAACATGGTATTAAACTTATTTCCCATAAACAAAGTTTGCAGAAAACTTAATTAGTACCGCAAGACAGCTTACAGATGGTAATCCTGTTGGTGGTTGTTTTGTAGTAATTGATGTTTCAAGTCTTTCTATCAAGCTTCCTAGTGTGATGGGGCTGCGATCTGGATCTTCTTTTTCAGGTGCCTTGGTAAGGCTGCCTTGTTTTTCTTTTTGCAGATCTGTACCTCCAGGCAAATAAGACCTAGAGTACATGTCTAATTTCTCAGTTCTACTTCCTACAGCAGACACTTTGCAAGTATTACTTTGTATTTGATCCTGAAGGATGGCGTTGGATAGCAAGGCAGAAAATGTCTCATTGTGTCTAATTTCTATGGAGCCCCTCTGTTGGATTTCTTGAAACACTTTTGCCCCATTGTCAGACTCTGCCTTCATACTGCAGGTGGCTGTGCTTCTGTTTTCCACCACAAACTTAACTTCTTTCTCTGGATCCTCATCCGCCGTTAGGAACAATGTTTCAGCCTCCATCTCCTTCTCTTCCTCCAAACAAGGAGCCAGGGTGTCAAAATCCAGAAGCCTTGCCGAGTCCTGCTGGGTGAAATCTTCTGTGTCCTCCACCAACACCGAAGAACTGCATAACTCCGGGCTGGAGTCGCTCCTTTCCAGTTCCTGCAAACAATCAGAGCCATTTTTTGAGCCATTCAAATACTCGGCATTGATCATGGAGGCCAAATCCTGCAGCCTGCGCAGGGGGATGTAGCAAGAGGAAGGAGGATTTTGCCCATAGGCTGCCTTGGACGCTGCTAAGGGAAACTGCATGGCGGTGCACCCATTAGGTGGCTCGGGGCTACAGCTCTGACCCTCCCCCCCGTAAGGGCCGGCCCCGTTCTCCTCCGGTGCCCCTAACGCCAAAGGGCTGGCGAAGGGGGACAGGTAGCCCCTCCTGCTCACTTCGCAGGCCTGATCCATCCTCTACGGCGGGCATCAACCTGTGAAGTAAACACAGCAACAATGGGGTCAGGCAAACCCTCCAGGGCCTTGTTCTCCAAAATGGCAGCCACTTCTGCTGCTGCTACTCCTCCTCCTCCTCTTCGGCGGCGGCGGCCGCGGCGGCGGTAGTGGCAGAGGCCCGGCTGACGCCTCCTGCTCCTGGCCGGGAGGCCTCAGAGAGCCTCCAGCAAGCCGGGTGCAGGAGGGCCCCCCCGCCCCCGCAACCTACGACTTCTAGGCAACGTTGCCTCCTGGTCGTTACAGCCTGATGTTTGCCTTCACAATAGCGCAGCATCCACCCTGCTGTTGCTTGCCGGGAACGCAGCAAGCAGGCCTGATTTGGCCTGGCCGCACTCTTCTCCCCACCCCCAAAAGGCTGCAGCTCCTGCTCAACAGTGATGGGTTCAGCAACCGCTTCTGGACCTTTAATCCCTCCGCCGTTGGCTGCCGCCCGGCTTCTCCACTAGGCCCGATGCCGGTTGGCAAGGATACCCCCCCACCCCATTTCCTGAGGCCCTTCGGGGGCTGGTTGCAGCGTCCTTGGAATCTGAGATCAGGGAGAACGGGGACGTCTTGCCTGGAGTTTACTTGCCCTTTCCCTCTCCGACTTGGCCCTCCCGCTCCGGGGCCAAAATGAAGAGCCGACTTGGCTCCTCCGGGCCCTATCAGCTTCGTCTCCCGCACAGCAGCCTGCCAGCTTCTTTCGCTTGCTCGCTTTGGCTCGGACGCGCGCGCGAGCGCTGCGCGCCCCCGCCGCCACGCGCGCCCCTTGCTGCTGTTTCCCCCCCCGTGCGCGCTCGCGCGCGCCCCCTTACTAACTCTTGGGGTTCAGCCGCAGCCGCGGCAAAGCGCTGCGCTGTCCAATCAACGCGCGCGCCTGCTCGTCTCCTGCGCGCCGTCTCCCCTTTGGGCAGCACCCGGCCCCTGCGCGGGCCGCTGCCCCCTAGTGCTCAGTCCTGCAGCCCCTCCCTGCCCCACCTAGGGCTCTCTCTGTGCACTGCCTACTCCTCCAGCCTGCTCCCAAGGGCTGGTGTCGACTTGCAGTTCGGCCTGGCCTCGGTCGGCTGACCGGCCGGCCAGCCGGCCGCCCTCCCTTCCGTCCCACGGCACATGGCGTCGCAGCTCTCCTCTCTACCCGCGCTGGACAAGCCCTGCCTTTCTCGCTGCTGCCAGCAACCCCCCCCCATCCGTCCTTCCGACCTTCCCCGCAGTCTAAACATGTCGCTTCGTACCATAAGCAACCCTAGCAGGGCGCCGGCTCCGAGGCCAGGCCTTTGCTGGCTCCCCCGTCAAGCGCTGCAGCAGAGACCAGGAGCGAGCAAAGATGGTGGCTGTTGAGCTCGCCCACCCACCCGCCGGGCAGCCGCCGTTCTCCTTGGCAGCCCGAAGAAGGGGAGGGGGAGCCCCTCAGACGCCCCGTGACCACCAGCCAACCGGGCTGACGGCTGCCCCGGGGTTTTCTCCCAGGCTCATGGTGGTCGTGCCGCTGCTGCTGCTGCCAGGTTTAAGCGGCTCCTCAACCGCACGCGTGGGAATGGCTAGCCTGAATCCTACCACGCCACCTCAAACGGGAGAGAGGAAAGCTGGGAGGGTTTCTTAGCTACTAGGTTGGGAGCAACCAGAGGCAACCAGGCCGCCCCCATCTTCCCGCCCAACAACTGGGGGAAACTTAAAGCAGGTCAGCCTGCTCCCTTGTCTCCCAGCCAACAATGGGGCAGGAGAATACAGGAAAAAAAAACTCCCTCCGGTCTTTCTCTCTCTCTCTGCGCTCCCCCCCGCCCCACCTCCTCCGCCTAATGAGGGGAGGGGGGCCGAATTCTCCAAAAATAAATGCCTGGACAGTGGCGTTGGAGCTGGTCGTGGAGTGGCCCCCACCAGCTCCTCCTGAACGGGGCCAAACTCTTGCCTTCCTGCGTGAAGAACGATGGCAGGGCCAAAATCTGCCCCAGAGAAACTGAGGGGAACGGATTCCGGTCCCCGCAGAGCACAACCAGGCCGCTCCCGGAATCCTTCCACGGGCGGGCTGCGGATGCGGTGGCCGAGGCGCGGAGCTCCTCTCCCCCTTCCCCAGGGACTAGCCCAGCAACGGGGCTGGGAGGGAACCTCTGCCAAGCGCTTCTTTTTCCCTTCCCCGTAGAGAGACCGTGGAAAGCGAGCTCGCCTCGTCTTAGCGAGACCTTTTCTCTTCTCCCCCCCCCTCTCGCTCCCGTCTCTCCCGCGACCGCCGCCGAAGGGTCAGCTCTCTTTCTCCCCCTTCTCGCAGTTGGTCTCCAGGGTAGCCCAGGTAGAGCCGCTCCTGCGTCCCCCCCTTTTTTTTTTGGCTCTGGAGAGCAGCCCTGCCCCTGGGCGGCTGCCGCGGCTCTCGTCGTCTCGTGTATGACAGGGCAGCCGGGATCCAAGCAGGGAGACCAGCCCGAGATTAGCCACAGGGGCCGGGCCCCCAACTCTGGAGGGGCCCCGGCGGAGCCCAGGCGAGTGTCCGGGCTGCCCCCCCCCACTCCGGCGGGCACCCCTCCTTCCTGCTCCTCCACGGGAGCCTCAGCGCCTTGACATCGGTCAAGAGCGGCGGGCCTTCGCGGCGCGCTGCTCGCGTCTCTTCCTGCTGCAGCTCCTGCTTAGTCTGTGAGCTGAATGCCGTCGCCCCCTTCCTCCCCCTCGGTCTTGCAAAGCGGCCATTAGAGTTGCCCGCCAGCGAAGCCGAGCTCAACCTTCCCGGGGCAACACCTTAGCCCCCTCCACCGCGGTGCAACGACAGGGCATCCCCCCCTCCCTCCGCCTCGCCACAGGGACTGGAGTCGGGAGTGGTGGGTTGGCTCCTATTCCTTTCTCTCTACCTTGAAATCCTCGCCAGCGATCCGTCCGTAAGGAGCCCGCTGAGGGAACCAGGACTGCCCGTTTGTTTGTTTATTTATTTATGCTAAAATTGGTCCTCAGCTTCAGCGGAACTCTCCTCCACCGTTTTAGACCTTCTCGCTAGCTAGGCAGGCAGGGGTGGCTGTGGGACCCAAGGCCATCCTGGAGATATCAGAATCCCCCCTGCGTTTGAGACAACCCTACGCACAGGCAAGACCTTTTTGTTCTCTTGTGCGGAGGAGTTTTGCCATCCAAGGCCAGGGAGAGGCGGCAGCTGGGGCGGGGGGGGGCAGGGGGGGCCATAGCAGGCAGCAGAGCATGATCAACCCAATACAAAACAGTGTCTTAGTCCCAGAGCAGGTTAACACTATATTAAGGGCATTAATGGTGAATCTAGCATGGGTGGAAATGCATGAAGGGTTCCTTTGCCTCAGACGTCTTCAGCAAGCTTGTAAGGGTTAAAACAAAAATCATGTCAGAATGAGTAGCATTCAGCTACCCTGACACAGTTGTTTATCCTAACAACACACGATTCTTCAAGCTTTGGACTTTCCATAGGTGTTGGACTACAGTTCACTTAAAGCCCTAGTTTGAAAAATTTTGGACCATAGCAGATTTAGGAAAGTTGCTCCCAGGACAGTGCTTCTCGTGTTAAAACAGATGGAGGAAACTTACAGCTTTCCAGGTGTTGTTCAACTGCAGCCCCCACCATTCCTTGCCATGGACTACCCTGCCTGGAGCTGATGGGAACTACGGTAACAGAGGACCTCAAGTTGCTCGCTCTTGCTTTAAGGAAGAGCCTCCCAAGCAGAGCAGGCCATGTTAAAGGTCACATTCAGAGATGGGCAAGCTGGCCCTCTCGAAGACAGCTCCCATCAGCCCTCTCCTAGCCAGCATAGCCAAGGGGAAGGAAGCTGGGAGCTGCCTTCAACCTGGGGAGGGCCAACCCCCCCCCCCAGCCCAGCCCAGCCCAGTCTAAATCAGGCAATAGCCTGTTTCATTGTAATGCGGCTTTGAATGTTGATTAGCAGGGATGATGGTAGCATTGCCTGTTGTCTTAGGCCAAATTGTCCTAAAACAAAAGTGGTTGGGGATTATGGGAATTGTGGTTGACACATCTGGAGGGCACTAGGATATGGGAGGTTGCCTATAGCTTCCCAGAAGTGAACTGTCTTTCCTCACCTCCCTTGGTCATGTGGTTTCTAACCAGTACTGAAGCTAGGCCTTGAGCCCAAGCAGGTACCTGCTGTTCAGACAGGCCATCAGTTCTGAAACTAATTGGTATTACTCCTTCTCCAAGCAGACATTTACACTTTCTAGAATGGAGGGGATGGGAGTGGCAAGCACGCTATAAGCTCCTCCTTCCAGGCAAAAAGGAAAAGAAGAACTTGCCAGAAATTGACATCTACAGTACTTTTCTGCTCCCAATCACAGACAATTGATGTAAAGGGACAGGGATAAGGGGAACTGATAAGGGAAGCTGCCTTTTATTTTTGCAGGGATTTTAGGAGGGAGATATTCACACTCATTTTGTCCTGATGCAACTAGACAATTATAATTGTTAGTATTTTATAGTGCTTTTAAGCTGCTTCCAAATCATCATATTTTAACAGTATCTTAGCACTTGAAAGAGAAAGGAAAAGCTTGCACTTCCTTTCATGCTTATGCAGTCACCCCACAGAGAGACATGGGCTCCACATTTTTGGGAATATTTGCTCTTAATTGGACCAGCTGAAATGTCCATCTCAATTAAAGTCCAAATCTTTGCAGAGATGAGTTGGTTCTTTCCAAACAATTAGCATCATTAAAGTGCTGTGTGCATGCCAGCCCATCGTTTTATGGCTGTTTTCTCAAAGTTGTTGCCTCCCTGAATGGGCAGTGAAATTCAGAAGTTACTTTTTTACAAGCAATCAGTTACCAGTATCCTCTCAAGTCACCGCCACCATGTACAGTAGTTTGCTGCTGTTAGGACTGACTTTTTAAATAGGTAACATTTTATTTTCTGCTGTTTCAAAAGTAACAACTGTTGCATTTTTAAAAGCGACAGGCTTCTGGCCTATGGTACAAGACATCCTCCATGTCAGCTCAAAACTTATAAAAGACGTAGGAGTCAAGCAAAAAGCACAGCAGGAAGGAGCATTTGAACTCTCTGATGCTCTTGAGGAGTGAGACCACCTTTTCTTCCCTGTTACAGTGGGCATTTTCACAATGAAGAATCAGATTTTGCTGGTCTCAACAAACCTTGTGATTTTTCTGAATGAAACCTAAGACAATCACATCAGAAAATAAACTCTTTTTTGAGAGTCCACAGACTGTTCCCCTTTGTAACATCTCAAGGTAGCCTGTAGATTACATGGCTTGTATCAAGCTTTCACTGAGTGTTGCTATTGGGCAAGCAGAGGGCAGTTTTTCTACATGGAGATCACAACACTTGCACAAGTGGTGAAATCCTGTATTACTACACAGGCAGGACTTTCAACTCAGAGGAAACTCAACCAACAATTGGTCCCTGAAGCTCTTTCCTTCCTTTTCGTTTTTGCCTCTTTTTCAAAGCATTTTGCCTAATAGAGTCGGCAGAGGATCCTAAAAGTTTGGATACATTTGTAGTCTTCTTTGTTCATCTAACAAAGGTATTACTATAATAGAGATTTTTAAAAGATACTGTTAGACGGCAAAAGGAGTGGTATTACTCCTAGTTAAGTTACATTTCAAT